TAATTATGGAATCGCACTGCCAAATGTACTTTTATCTCAAACTATAGTGCATGTTGGTTCCTGCAGGCTTCAGATCGAATTTCATTGGCTCTTTTATTTTCCAATGTTCTGAGAAAATCCGAAACCACAACCTTATAAATCCATGGCCTTAGCGATAGTAGAAGTTGGCGTCATTTTTCTTTATTCGGCTGCCTGTCCGCAATGCTCCTTATGACCGATGAACTCCGCTGATTGCTAGCAGGATGCCTACTTTTACCGAGGTGCAGTCACAGTTTGTATCTGCACTTTTCGATCATACAAAAGGCTCTAATAGTCTGCCTTTCCATTAACACTGCCATCAATTCTGAAAAAAGAACTTTTAGAAATACTTTGTCAGTTCCTGTACATAATGACGCCTCGAATTATCACGTGAACCATGGCTGAGGCACGTTGTGACGCCATTTTGTTAGGTTCGGAGCAATCAATTTTAATGTTGTCCATGGGTTGGTTGCATCCTTGTCACGAGTCTCAAAAAGAGCCAATGGAAAGTGCTGAAACTCAGGTGAGGCCAATAAAACTCTTGTGCCTAATTTTAAGTTATTAAATATCATGATTTTAATCATTAAATGTCCTCAATGTACAATGCATAGCCTTGGCCACAAAAAGCACCGCTAGCGTCTTTGGTTAAAATAACTTGTGTTCTGTATGTAAGGCACACGCACTAGGTGGATAATCACACCGGTAGGAAGAAAAACCACGAATGTCATCCTGTGATAGTACTGTTGATGTTCGCATTTCTCGCCAGTATTCTCACAAATCGCAACTGAGTCACGTGGAAGACGGTTCACCTTGTCGCATCCAGTCCCGATGACATCAAAAGTTGGCCTACATTGGAGTGTTTTGAAGAAGTTTAAATGCGCTTTTAAGGTGCTGCCGGATAACTTGGAAACTGAAATCCTTTACCTCATAACACTAGGTACACCCGTATGGAGTTTTCTGTCTGACCATAAGTATGGTAGAAATGCAAAAATATGACATTCATAAGAGTGAAACCTATCGCCTCTGTGTGGTGCAGTCCCAACTGCACTGCTAACCTGCATTGAAGTGACAGTATGTAAATACTGTCGATTTATTTTGCACAAAAACTAATCTTAACTTTCAATGATTCATTTTATGCTTGTCAACATAGACAGTTGGTGTTATTTGGCAGTAGGAAACCTTCTTGTCGTTCCTAAGAAATTGTTCCCATTAGCGGTCTCTGTTGCAAAGGTATTTTTATTTGGCAACACCAATAATCGGCTTCGGAGGCAAAAATTGTTGTAATGGATGGAATGGGTTTGTCCATTCACAATGTAACCACGCAGACACCGAATTGTGTTGATGCTGTTTTCCCTGAACGCAAGTAATTATACTTGGCAAAAGTAATTCGCGCTTTTTTTCTAAATATAATCAAGTAAATCTGATTCTTCGTTCCAGACATTTATGCCCTCCTTCACACATCTCCGAACTCAAACATACTGATGACCTTTATGGTGCCAACCTTCTCCGGCGAAGTTATTAAGACACTTTTAATTAAAAGTGGATGAGATGTTCGAACTGATCGCGACAATACCTTGAAGCGAGCAGTTGAAAGGAGGCAGTCCACATTGTGACACCGCCTGCAGCTTAAGCGATAGCATTAATTTGGAGTGACAGATGAGTCCTATTTTGCAAGATTTGGATCTCACTTTTTATGCAGTTTTCAATTACTTTCTTCTGAGGGCACTCACCCCAAAGGATTTAGGACTCACATATGTCTATCGCCTTGGCAAGACGCGAAAAAATAATTTGGTCTAAATAATTTTAGTTGCATGGAAAATCTTAGAGATGATTCGTTTTGAAATCGTCGTCATGTCTGAGACTCGAATTCTGCTGTTAAGCCCATTATGCCCTTTTCCATTTCGCATACTTCCAACATTCCATGCCTTAAACTTTGCTAATAGATTAACAATGAGTTTGGCTACAAAAAAACCCATTTGTTGTATTTTTCGGAAGTACTTTATGCAACCGCATTATCAAGAGTTGTGGTGGGGCTGTCTCACTGTCCTACCACTTTTTACTAGCGCACTGTGCGTGAACCAAGGCACTCCCCCACAGTGCGGAAACGTCGTTATAAGTCTTGCACACCAGCCTCCGTATTGTTAAGTTTTGTGAATGACAGTAAATGCAGTGATATTTACTGCACTGCTCAGAAGTTAAAAAGGCATTTTATCCACGTAACAACAAAAAAACGGGCTAGTTCTCTTCATGCTCCTTTGTTTTCGGCATTCTCATACAATTTTTGTATCATTTTGAAGCTATTGAAGAACAACTTCTTAATAGACCCATGAGTTTTGATTTGCGTCGATTCCATAGCGGAAGTCAAAAGCGACGCAAAAGCGTGTCAAAACACAGTTCGATGCTTGGGACAATGAAGTTGCCTCAAGTAGAGTAGATTGAAAAATATTGAAACCAAACAAAAGTTCGGTCAACTGAATCTGGCTGAAGTTGACAGTGCGGGCAGAGATGATGCGTCTGATGTGTGAAAGTTGATGAAGAAACACAAAAAAAGAGTGCAAAGGAGATCAAGATTAGCATCCAGCAACGTGGTTTCGTAAGTTGTCATACGTAGTCTCCCTGTTTACGCCAACCGGGATCTAAAGCAAGAAGACACCATAAACAGACTTGACAGTGGACATGTTCAAAAGGAAGGCATTGAAATGCAAATTTTTGCATGAGCGCATAGTGTAGCCAGATTGCCAACATCATAAATGCACAGGACCTGCTGGGAATACTCTCTAATTTCAAGGGCTTCGCACACAGTAAAATGCCTAGTCCAAACAAATATATGCTACGGAGTCTTGAATTGCTCCTACACACATTTGATCACTGCTGCTTTGTCATTCGATTGCCAGGTTGCTGACTAGCAGCATCAATTCCAGGCCCTCCATACCAAATGCTCCTCCTCAACTCCCTTTTCCCAACTTTATTTCGCTATTTTATATGCTCGATTAAGGCAAAACTTCACAATTCTTCGCATTATTTTGAACACAAAAACGTGACTCCTGCGTGAGAAATGGAAGCAGTGCATTTATTGACATTTACGATTCAAAGCGCTACGTAAACCTTCGAAGAAATTTCGCGAAGTACGACGATGCTAAAGTGCTTTCTTAATAAACCTACTGCATGAACTATAGGAAAACGAGAAAAAGCATTACCATTCAACTAAGGCAGCAGGGAATTAAAAAATTTCTATCCTTTACTTAACATCGGCTAAATGACTCAGGAAGCAATCGCAAAAGAATGGTCTGGACATAGCAAAGGGGAAAGATGAAAGAGTGAAGTCTCACGAGATTGTTGGTTTGAGTGGAGTTGCAAACCATGGGCTAAGGCAAACATCTACGTCAAAAAGACTTGACCAACCTTACATACAACTTCTCGCAACCGATCACTGTGTTGTAACATCTCCACAGATTTGTAATATTCAGCGAGCCTGTTCTCCATGGCTTCCGAGTCAAGCTTGTGCGTCCCTGTAGCAAGATTCGTCTTTATTTCTTCCTTTGACGAACACAGTCGCTTATCCGTCTCCTTGTCTCCATCCAAAATGAGTACGCGTACATTCGTGTTGGTCTATCAAAAAATGGGGGTTTCGTGACGGGAGGCATACAATGCACCTAGTTTATTTTAAATGCAAAATGCCCTATCGACAACTGTTTTCCGACAAGGTAGGTTGCACAAGGTACATGTTAAAATCAAATTAAAACCTACTGCAGTGATCACCTTGCTAAATTCACAAACACATATAATAGTGGAATATGAGAGAAGTTCGGGTTTGCTTTTATGACGGTGCTTGGATGGAAGAGAAGAGATGATAAAACTTTAAATTGATATGTAGACAATGTTTTTTCCACCACCTTTCATCTTTGGCGGTGCATAATGATCATAAGACAGTTCTTTCTGGCACTCAGTAACTACAAGTCCTGACTTTGATGAAGGCAGGTTCCGACGAATTGGGAAATAAGTGCACGCGTACTTTGTTCTACAATCAAGCTACATGACAGGCTTTTGCAGCGTATTTTTTTTGTTGAAATGGTCACAACTGCAATTTAATTTTCAATCCTTTTCCAACGAATCGCGTACTATCGGCAAGATATTATTTTCAATGAGAACTCGAAATCCTGGAGACATTCACCGATTTCACCCAAATTCTATTCTCACATGTAACTCTCAAATGTCCGAATAGGGTGCTGTTATCAATCCGAGAACTTTTGAACTTGAGGCGCCCCAGTGATAAGAGTTGGTTCAAGAATTACGTACTTATGCATACTCCAGTTGCATTGTAGTAAGTGAATTTTAGCAGGAATTTCATGGAACACAATCTGCTTCACAGTCCATAACACATATCACAAGGCAGTTCCGATTGAACGAAGTGTCAATTGGTCTTGCAATAACTGATGACATGCATGCTCCCTTTGCAAAAGTTTAAACACTCAAGACATTTTCCAGTGAAGCACTCCAGTTGGTGTTTTATGAGATGCATGAAAACAAGTGATGGGAAAGTCACATATTGAAAATTGTTGTCCGTCATGTAATCATGCTTAGTAACTTAAATAAATTGTTTGGTGTAAGCACAAAGCACCCGCCTCATTACCAATAAATAGTAATGGAGACACTTTCTGACACCATTCCGAATCACTCTTGCCAAGCCCCGTAAACTAATTTCGCACTATCGTGCGGGCGATGCCTTTGTGAACTCGATGAACTAGTAATGCATTGTCAGGATCACTTTTGCACTATTTTGTGCTCGTTGCGAACGGAGCACTGTTTCGCTTTGCATGGCCTAAATATTACAACTGTTTTCCAAGAGTATCTGTCGGTTTTGAAAAGGAACTTGAAGTCTCAAAGTAGACAGCCACCAAAGTGTATTAATGCACTGATTGACATTCCTACCTTATTGTCCAACCAAAAGATCGCGTGTATTTTACGGATCTTTTCAGGTTGTAAGCCACTGAAACGAGCTACACGGAATATGGCACCACTTTTTTGATCGTGTACTGTTGCAATTAGTGACGTATGACAAATTGCTGGCAAAAGAGATGCAAACAAACCTTCATGGATTTTTGAAGGAATCGTAGTACTGTCCTGGGGCTTCCGACAATTATGAAGCCTGCATTTCCTGCAACCCCACCAGACAATGATTTTCTAATCTGTCGAAATTCCTCCTACAAAACAGGTGAACGTTAATTAATCAATCGTTCAAAACCAATTAATTGTAATTAACTGTAGCACAAAAGAACAACACGCCTCATTGAATTGAAAAAGGAGAGCGCCATTTTTAAGTGGACAGTTGATAAATCGTGTCTCTGGCCCAAGTAACAGTGCAGACTTGGCACGAAAGTAACGTGCCTAAGGAGAGAGGCAAAACAGCAATGTAAAAGAATGTGTCGCAAAACGTGACTCCGGTTTGGAGTCACTCTAGCTCGGATCCTTTCGGTCATGACAATGAAACAATCGGAAACTGCAACCAAAAGATTATGCGTCACGTAAATAGTTTTTTTTTTTAATGGCAAGCCACAATCCAATCGTTATGTTATGGTTTGCGCGTCGTCAAACGTTTAGCAGCAGGGCACCCAGAAACTGCAAACAGTGTGGAAATGAGCTATTTCGAATGCTGACACAGCATTGTAGTTTTACTTAATATTTTTACGATGGGAAAGGTCCTTCGTTTAAGAAAAATAATACTGCTTTTCCTTTTGTGATGCGGAGCTTTTCGCCGACTTACCTGCTCACGGGCCCCCTCTTGTGCGTTCCTCATAGATGCAAAGGTAAAGTTGGTTTCCGTTGCAAGTCGCCTAGCCAGTTGTCTTACTCCATATGTTGGAGGCCCTACCAGTTGAAGTGATTGAAGTTATTTTGCTAACTCTTATTGTTAGTTTCAAATCTGCCAAATTTTTTAACTCACCAACAATGAAATACACCCAACAATCGGGCAAAGTAGAATGAAGAGCTGCAGAAAAAGGATGCTTAACGAATACGAAACTCTGAGGTTAAGTTATGCAAACCTTCTTACGGGTGTTTAAATTTGAGGGTGACGATGTCTAAAAAATCACAAACGATGTTGTTTTACTTATTTCAAATAGTAGAAACATTATGCAGAAAATTTCGTGCATTACCGACTTTATAATTGCTTTTCCCATATTGTCATGATGAATCCCGTCCATATTTGGGGTGATTTGGTGTCTACTTGTCTAAAATTTCATGTGAAACAAATTGAACCAAACTTGTTATGCACAACGATCGACCATGCAAAAGAGCATGCTTAGATGCCCTGCGTGGAATGTTACCTGAAGTGACTCGGTAAAACTACAAATATGAGATTGAATAAAAATTTGCTTGAAAAGCACATTGAACCCGAAGTTATGCTTTTAGACATTATGTGCCTTCCTCTTTGTAAGTCTCTCATTTCGGTGTCGTACATTTATCTTGATAACGAAATGGAAAGTTCGTTTTACTACGGGAACTCAGTGGTAACAGTCTTACATTATAAGTAAAGGTTTATGCACAAAGAGCTGATTGTTTCGTTTTTATAGCAACTTACCAACATCAAGTAAACCACAACTAGTAGAATGCATGGACCAGAAAAGCTTTCGTATTTACATATTAGATTAAAAAGCCCGGAATTAATGAGTGAGTGATCAGTACAACCTCTAGCCCATCATCAACGATTTGAGTTTCTTCTTCATCAAAGTTTGCTTGTCCTCCCTGCATTTCGGTCGTTGCTCTACTATGGTTGTCATTTGCCTAAATGAACGGATGGGGCAAAAGTTACGAAAAATCATGACCTACAAATGAATGAACTACCAGTAGAACTAATTATTTCTCACCAATTCAACAAATTGAAGAGCATTATTGTTGGTCCCATTTGAAGACTGTCTCTTGGTCAAAAAATATTCCACGAAGGCGACTAAATCCCTCGTTATTAAGTCAGCATCACGATCAGCCGGCATCTAAACCAGAAACAATTCAATTATGGCTGAAATGTTAGCCATTACTATTTTAAGACGAAGGGATTATTCACTGGACCTCGAGTAGACGCACCCATCTGATCGCCTTTATGCTAATGGTTGCCGGTTCGTTAGAATCCGACTTAGTAAGACCATCGCAGTGTAAGACCACAGTGTAAGAGCTGTGTCGATGTGGAATTTGAATACGAAAACACGAGCCTTGTGCGATTTTATCTCAAGCATGATTGAAAGCGTTTAATAATAATTTCGTTTGCCGCTAATCGGCGATCATTTTGTTGTGGCCATTCTCCTTATTCAACTTGTTGCATTTATACAATATTCATAATTCAGCCCTCAAGTCGTCTGAAAACGACTCGTTGAAATGATTAACGAGAGCGGTCTCTCCAGATCAGGATAACTTATGGAAAGGACTTTAAAACTTGTTTTAAAACGATCTAACAGCTTTGATTGAGTCTCAAATGAGCCTAAAAGCATTTAAATCGGTTTAAATTGGCGACTGCACTAAAGATGCTTATTTAACCCAGCGAGGGTCAGTACCGTTCAGCACACGAATGCATTGATACTGTTGCAGATACGAATAATTTAAACAAGGTCCAGGCATGACTCACAATGACCAGCTTTCCGATCTCGTCGAAGTAGCGTGCAACGGGAAGGGAGACTTGCTTGAAGAAATTGACGCGCTGATGCACGATATGTGCCTCGTCTTCGATGCGCTTGAGGCGAGTACAGCGCCTGTTTAGTCGTGTAATCAGTGTTGCCTCCTCACAATCCAACAACACCACCATGTCGGCCCCTCCGATCTGCCGAGCAGATTGCAACATGGTCTGGCGTTAAAGGTCTACACAAATTGCATTGCTCTTATGCATCACTAACTAAGCGGTCAATCGTACAAAAGTTTTTAGAGTTGCAAGATAGAAATTGAAACTGTCTAAAGCTTTTATTTTTGGTGGATTCAACCAAGGTGTGTGCTTAAAGCTGCCAAGTCTGTTCTAAAGCAATAAGGAAGGATCCGTACCTATAATCCTACTGTTTTTATCTTCTGACGGTTTTTGAATCGTTCACATCCAGCTATTTTTTATTTCGCACAAGATATTTCAAACTTTTTACAAGTATCATCAATTATACTCGTTGCAGCTTCTTCCTTTGAAGTGTAAAATGACAGATAATGGCAATATTGCTTCCCCTTTTCATTTTGCAATTACTACATGGTCCATAATAACAAAATGAAACAGAAATTCTCATCGACAGAAAGAAACGTTAACATTCCATTTGTTTAAGCGTGAGAACTAAAAGCGGTATGGAGTATGTTAATGATAACTATCAAGCATAAATGCTCAGCAATAGGGTCAGGTCAGCGTACTTTTTTCCAGTAAATCTTCGTTAAAGCAACAGATTTGCCAAAATTCGCAAAAAATCCCAACAATGATCACTCGCTGAACAAAACAAAGATATTTGAAGGATGGGTGGATTAAAGAAAGGGAAGGACAATGATGGCACTGGCAGTTAGAAGTTCCTACCACTGAGACACACCCAAGCACAAAGAAAAAATCTCAATACAAATGGTGAAGGCAACACAATCGGCCAGAAGGGAAACATACCGTCTTATTAAATGTTGAAATTTGGCTCTCATCATTCATGTAACCCTCAATAACAACCAGTGTAGCGTTATCCGCCAACTTGACAAACTCATCTCGCAGAATATCTGTTTGAATATCCTAAAACGTTACAAGATCATACAGGTTCGTTTGGTGTAGCAATTGTAGAACTTACCCAGTACTCAGGAATCATACGATCCTAAAACACATAAAAACGTAACTACTAAGACAAAGATAAGTTCATTAAGATTAAACATACACTCCTAAATAAGGTAAAAAAATGGGAAGTTATGCATTCGAAATGTATTGATTTCGGTCAAAATTAAGATTTGAAGAGATCTGCGGCAGACTCACGTAGCTGAGTGGCGGTTCACTGCTGTGGACACGCTTAGCAACGACGTCCCAGTCTTTTTCAACGCCAGTGGAGAGGGCATCGAGGACGCGTGTGCGCAGAAGATCAGTGAGGTTGAAGTGCTTCGAGCCCTTTATCAATCGACATAGTGACAACGCTTGTTTCGTTCGACCCGAACCCGGACCACCTTTCAATCAACATGTCAGCTGCATTTATTGTGCGTGATACCCTCATTTGGCTTTAAGGTTGGTAGATTTTTAAGTAAGTTCGGACTAGTGAGGTGTTAACTATTGCGCATTAAAACATACATAATCCCGCGTCACTTTTAAAGCATCGAAATCAAACCTGAATTAAATCTAGACCTTTGATCGCGCATACGGTACACAATAATGATACATGGAAGCGAATGCCATGTCAACTGATATTATGACCACTTGTCTCAGTTACATAACGCACAATTTTCCCATAATTCACGTACATACTGAAATCACATAGGGAGGCAAGTCACAGATCGAACAACGAATTAAGAAAAGTACCTAAACAAATGATAATCTTGCATACGCATCGAGTCGCCTTGAGACTAAGCAATCATTAATGAGTGTTCAATATTCAAATGAAATGTTTTATTTTTCCATTTTATTTGTTATTATCTCATTTTGTCCAACCTTCCCGTAATAGTGTAATTTAATGACTTTACGAGAAAGGCATCTGAAACTGCTTCCATGCGTTTATATCTACGCTTCATTGTATCCAAAGTAGTAACCCAAATCACATCATCGATACTGATAAAATAAGATCACATTATGTATGAAAGGGACAAGTTTACCCAAGAGTATCATAACTGGACAAACAGGCAATCCGCTTTGTCGTCCAAGATCCTTATATTCTGGACGAATAGTGGGGATATTGAAGGATGGCGGGTTACCCGGACATCCGACAATTCTTTGTAGAAACGGTCTGACTTGAGGCTCTGGGGCGTGTTCCCTTTCCGGCTTTATCAGTGGAGCTAAAATACAGGGAGTTCAATAAAAACATACTGTTACAAAAGTTAACATGAAAAAGAAGCCTACCAGTTACACGTCGAGTAAGAAGGAAATCAAATATCGCTAACAGTTCTTGCTCTATGTCCTCATCCGTTTGTTCACCGTCAACCTATACAACAAATTGGTTGCAATAGCAGAATTATCCATTTGCATACACCTTACCTCCCAACTAACAGATTTTGGATTTAAGGCTTATATAAATGGCAAAATACATTAACATGACAATCATAGGGAATGCACTATAACTGTTCCTTCTATAATCCGGCTTTTAATCATGACAAGATATGCTCAGTAAAATATAGTTAGACGCATAGTAAATCAAATGGGGTAAGTTTATAAGTGAAGTTATTTATACCAAGAGCAGAACAATAAGAAGTTAAGGCAATGCGTACCACTCGTAATTTACTTTCGTTGTCAATTACTTTGCATACTGGAAGTGTTACATTCTTGAATGTGCATATTTTCCTTCGAATAACATCGTTTGGTAGAGGTTTAGCGGGTTCACAGCTAGTTTGCTTTGCGTTAAGCAGCTGATGTAGACATTTTTCCTCGGAAGCATCAATGAGGATAATGCCAGATAAATTATCCTTACAGATCTAAACAAGAATTATGAACGAATTGATGGAGCTTGTTTTTATTTTCAAATGTCTGGTTCACATTAAAAGCGTTTGTGCAAGGAGACTGACACTTCGTAAAGTAAGCAAACGGAGCCACGAAGCCGTTGAGATATTCGTTTTAAAAATTACATATGCTCGTGAAAGATTAATACAAACACTCATACAGGTAGCCCTTATTGCTGTATGTACATGACAATGTCCTACCAATAACTTTATCAGCCAGACTTAATCAAAATTAAAAAGCGTGGGAATTTCGGTGCATTGTAGCATGTAACAAAAAAAACATACATTAATCTTGAGGTCCTCGTACTGCTTGAAAGTCCGTGGGTATCCGTCAATAATAAAACCCTCACAGGTGGGATACTGATTGATGTTCCACTTGAGAAGTTCGAGTATCATGTCTTCAGGAGCCAATTCGCCTGATCTAATAAAGCGAAGAGCAGAACTCCAGCGGCTGTGAGACTTCCTTTCTTCAATTTTAGCACAGTTAACTGCTAGATCTCCGGTGCTAATGTGTACGAAACTTGGATAGTGGCTAAGCATCCTTTCGGAGAATTCTCTTGCCCCAATACCGGGTGCAGCGATGATACATATGACAGAGGTTTGTGGACGCATCTTGAATTGAGAGCATCCTGTGTCAACCATTGGTTGATATCGTGAAAAGGGTTCGCTATTTCGTCTCATTGCAAGAGGCGGTAAAGGACAGCGCTTTTTATCGAGAAATAAATCCCATCTAACGGACCTATAGTCTTTTCGTTTGATCTTCTCAAGACATTCTTGGAGGTACTGAATTGGATCGACCGGACGGTGATACATCAAGCCCGTCATAAGACACTTATTCACCAGTTATAAAAAGTATAGTTGGTACCTCAAATAGTTGCGGAATTTCGTTACATGCGAGATATTCCTTGGTTTCTTTTGGTGGGATGACGGGCTTTCTCATTTCCATTGCGAGATTGCGAATGCAATCGAAAGACTGCACGCCTTCACGGCCTTGACAATCTATCTATAGCAACTCGATAAAGTGAAACCAAACCCAGTGATCCATACAACATTTCAAACATGATTCTCCTTAAGCGGCACACCTACTTTTGTAAGCCATAAATTCCCAGTTCAATTGTCGTGGAACGTCCTCCTCATAACTACGACCGTGATCGTTCCCTTTACCTTATAAAAGTAGCAAAGCCCGCTTAAAATGCATTTTTGATTTTGCAATGGTATGATTTTTCCTGTATTAGAGTTATTAAGCTGCATACTTGTTTAAGTAAAGAAGCGAGCGAGTGTAGTTTAGATAATGTTGGGACAAATGAGTGTGGAGTGTTCAAATTTCGTGTTATGTTTTCAAATACCCAACGAATGGTTTGGAGATGCTATAGTAGCGGCAGTAGGAAGCAATGACAAATGTGCTACCACCTCTATCCAGGTTTCTAACGCTTGTGGCACAATTTTTCAGAGTTACTGAAGGGAACATACTTTAAATTTGGGAGTCCATCACCTCTCCAGATCTGAAGCACTGCGAACGGCGTCTGCGTATGGTATCAACCCCTTTTCCGTTTTCTGCAAACAAGCTATTAACAACTGATGTTACACTAGTGAAGCATTGGCTTCAACACTCCATTTACAATGCCTGCGCATGAGTGTTGGCGGTAATGTTACGCTGCATTATCTTCTGTACGAAAATATGCTTCATCTCGTTTTCCTTGTCATAGATTTTGTTTGGACCAGTATTACAGTATTCAGTCCTACACACAATTTATGGTCAGCAGAAATGCCGGCGCCCTAGTGTTTAAATGAGGAGGCGGAAATTTAATTAAAAAAAGTGATTCAGAATTTTACCAATAGGATGCCCTCTAATAATAAATGATACTGGCTTCCCATACACTTTCTTAATCAGTGTATACCTTACTAATGCTCATTATAGCTCTAACGGGAAGAGCCTCTTCTGGAAGCTTTGGGAGGAGTCACCCAAGTAGAGACCGGCGGCTACAATTGCTTTCAGATCGAATTTAACTTCAGTTTTATATGAAACTGCTGCGAGGGCCAAGTACATTGTCTCAGTCTCATGGTAGTTTGTGACCGGCGTGGTTGGTTCATGGGTGTTTTCTTGCAGCACTGAGAAGGTGATGGCTGGCGTAGGAGGTGCACCGAAAGAAGCGTTGGGAAAAGTGTTCAAGATAAGAGAAGAGCAATGTGATATCTTGTTTATTCGACTGCCTGTATGAATGGTAGTCACATTGACTGCCATCCAGCTCCGGTTTAGTGAGTCTGGCCTTTGGATCAGGCAATGCGTTCGCCTGTTGATTAGTCAACTGCCTTCTGACCAAGCTGGCTCTTCAATTCTTAGTCCTCCCTTTCGCTGTTTGTGTCCTGCATTTATAGATATGGCTTCCTCTCTCTTCTGAACTTTAGTAGACTGAGGAGACTTGCTACAATTGGTGATCATGCGATGTTCTGACAATTTAGAGCTGATTTATTAATAGGTGGTGATGCACATTTCGCTCGACTAGTCAACAAGAAATCCACTCTTTGTTACATGCTTTATGTCTAGAATGTTAAAGTAAATACTTAAAAAGGCCTTTTTGGATTTTGTAGGTAGATTCACACAGGTACAAAGATTTATTTCAGTACTATATCCCCAGTCAGAAGAGCACTGGATCAAGGACCCAGCTTCTTGATGATGCGGACAATGCCATTCTCGATTCGAAACTGCGACATTTTATTTCAGGAATGGGATTAAACATGATACCCCAAATATCTGCCTGTTACTCGTCTCGAATGCAGGACTTCAAGTCACTGCACTAAAGTAGCGAACATCGAGAGGCACGGAAATTCCGCGAGCGAGTCCCATTTTTACTGCATCTGTTGAATGTTTCAAAATCTTATCACCAATTTTTGTTTGCACGCAGCTTTGATCGTGCACTTGCAATAGTTTGAGGCGACATGTGCTGATGGGTACTCGTGCTCCAGACATTCACTCAAGTCTCGTCGTGTTGAGGTGATGAATGCATGCCACGCCAGATTACAGACAACACACGTGGGAGAAGGAAAAAATCGACACATTATCGTCTCATGTGCAGTGCAAGCCTTTATTTGGCTATTAAAATCAGCGCCAATCCCACCCCTGTCGAGTATACATTCATCCTCAAGGCAGCTTTATTCAGCCAGCCACTTTTGTTCCGTAAAAGAGGAACTTACCTCATAATATGAACGCCTCCAAACTCCCCAGTTCATTCGCCTAGTTTCATTTCCATTTTGATAAAACCAGCACAGATTTTAACGATTTTTGTTGTTTCAGTTTTGAAAATTATGCAGCAAAAACCTGAAGTCAGACGCATACCTCTTCTATCTGCCGTCAAAATCCGCTTAAAAAAAAACATTCCAACCAAAAGACACGAGCAAGTTCGAATCAAATACAAAAGCAATCAAGTATCTATGCTGTTTATTACCGTAAAAGCTTGCTACATTTGTGACAAATCTAAGGCCAACTACAATGTGAGAACTATTTGATTTCTCTTATCGACTACAAAAGTTAAAGTACCAAAATCGCATCAGTTTCGATCTCAATGCACCCGACACACTACACTCGAGCACTATTCTATGACAATGAGTAGATTTTTACAAATTGGACAAGGGAATCGCTTCGACACATTGTTTGGTGACCAAAGAACTTTCTTAATCCCCAATTCAAAATGTGACCGTAAACTTCGAAATCAATTTTCATAAGACATATTTTTAGCGTCAACACTAAACCAAGTAACTCGAAGAATTTCAAACATGATAGACCCAACCCCTCATTTTGAAAACGTACTCGTGACCATCACCCAATGTAGCCAAATAAAATTCATTTTATCTACTTTAGCATTATGATGCACAAAATTTTAGGACTGTAAAAAAAGTTCGAGATAATAACACCAACATCGAATGAAGTATGCACAAACGCAACATGAGTTACCGCATATGATGAGAGCAGAGCTTTGAACCAACCAACATATTGAACCTTGCCAAAAGTTTCAAAAGCATAAACGTATAATGAAACACTGAATTAAAACCGTATCATCCCGATCTATTCATATTACCAAGAGCAACAACCTGAAGACAAAAATTCACTTCCTTTGTTGATTTAACTCAACGATGCGACTATTCATTCATTGACGAGCGGATAGGTCTGTAGACACAGAATTGAAGCACACATTGTTATAGAAAGCGGATAATCAAACAGCCCTTGAAAAAGGGTACCTCAGCTCATGCCTTAGAAATTATCAGAAGGCATCAGTGTTGACGCAATACATGTGCACAGAGCATTTATAATTAGATAGGAATTAACGGTTTGACAATAACAGTCAAAAGCACGTCGGTAAGCAAGTGGGGGAGAGTCACAGTGACATGGGAATAAACACAAAATGGATGCATCCTCACTTCTCAGCCGGTGAGTTCGTGGGAGCTAAGCCCGACTCGACGATAGAAACGGCAGGTGGATCTCGGGAAGAAGAAAAGGAGTGGGTAGTGGTCACAGCACCACTGGTGACGGAAGTAACAGTAGTGGCCAAATGACTTTGATGCTGTAGCTCGTGCTGCAACTCCACAGCCTTTTTACGTACCGCCGGAACATTCTCAGGCGTGGGAATTGTATCACCAGTTTGTTGTGCGGCAATAACATCAGCCGGAACCTCCGGAATCGTAGAAGACGAAGTTGGGTTAGCTTTTAGCATTCCAGCCTTCTGAGAGTTGTTACATCGAGCTTTAGCCATATTGTAATCGCCAGAGTCAAAATACTTTACCTAAAAATAAAAAGTAACGGATAATAAGTCACGTGGATCTTCCCATTAATTAAAGTCACTCTTATCAATAAGTCCTTAATTATTTGAATTGACGACGTATTACTAGACCACTTAGGTATTTGAGCATCAAAGGTATTCAATGAGCGGCTTGATAAAGACACCATGTACCTACAGGGAAAAAGTCCCTATACTTATTTTTAAAGCCTTATTGTAACAATTGGAGTTTCACAATCTATCTAAAATAAACAGTTTCATACCAAATATTCGAAGCAGCGTGACTCTAAACAGGAGCGCATAAAGTTAACGGAAACCCACTAGATCTAGAGACCCAAGTACGGTAAGCATTTACGCAAACTCACGTTGCGGTTAAGCCGTTTTTGCAAAATTGATGGTCCCTGGGCAACGAGATTAGGATATTTCGCCCTTAGCTTTTCTTCTGCGATTTGTTCAGGTGTTTTTTCCTATTATTAAAAGTAGTAAGTCTCTGGATGCATAGCTTACATGAACAGTGACAGGACAACCGCCTCCCTCCATTGCAAAGGAGCCCTTCGAATATGACCGTTGAAAGCACCGCTTTTGATGAAAAATTAAAACAATTATGTTTTCACTCAGTCGCAAAATATAACAAAAGAAGAGCTCCTCTTGATTCTGTTAACAAGTTTGTATTTAATGCAAAATATAAGGGATTTAATGCATGCTGCAATTAATTTGCCCACTGGGACCAATATCCATGGCATAATTAGTGACGACAGCTGGTAGGACACCTTTACTAGTTAGGACAGTGGAACACTTAGTTTCTCTCCCTAGAAGGGCAGTTGTTGATGCGGTTGTTGTCTAATACTATGCACTATCGTTGTGTTTTTTTTGCTACTTATTTGCTTAAAACCCGTCCAGAGTCGCTCTCAAACTAATTACTTTTATTAATACCTCTGACCCACAAACTTTGCTCATGATTTGAACCTGGAGTCAGTGCGGATAGAAACCGTTTGTTTAAGGTTTGAAGTAGCTCCCATCAAACGACTTTAGCTGCTCCACTCAATTGAAAAGTGAAGAATGGCTTAAGCAATGCACAATACTACCATTTGTTCAAAATGACAGCAGGTAAACATGGACAAACAAGACATTTTTGTGAAGGAACATGAGGCATTTTTATCCATGAAGTCCAATAATCCAGGTCAAACAAGTGATGCTACGAGTATCATTGACTTTCTTTTACGACTTCTTCGAAGGATGACTGAACCAGAGGGTCAAATTCGCCTGAGACACTGGACTCCTTGCTGTGCCACCATCCCCATCCAAAGTATATGACAAAACCTATAATTTGAACGGTGAAACGTTAATGTTCTTATCAGCTATTGATGCAGTACTTTGTTCAACTGCCGGTATAAGTGACTATCACTCGAGTGGTTATATTGCCTCTATTGGATTAGTTTGACTTCAGGTCCATGCTAAAAGCCCGACGCCTTTCATTTTGTCTGAATATGTACTCATCTCAAGCAATGCGCCTTCTAACATCTGTAGAGAATTCTTGGGACGCTGCGCTAGTGTGAATTCGGGAATCTGATTTGAAGTGGAGAATAATAGTAGCAGTTACCATCCACTGACTATGTATATCGTGAGTGATAAGCATTTTATGGCGCAATAACTTACCTATAGCCGACCAAATAATGAAGCGAATCCACGTCATTGGTGACAATTTCACGATGAGACACATGTTCAAAAATATGCAGAGGCAAGGAACTACGGGTACAAACGGTACCTAAAAGCGTAAAATCCTCACCTAGAATTTCCTCCTGCACAAAATAAATGCGTCAACCATATTTATCCTTTACGAGATAATTGAAGGCAATTTATTCACTCATCCCTTCGTTCACCCTCCTACATTGACGGTTACGACTCGCGTTTACTCTGTCTCCCGAAACTTCGTCGATTTGGACCTGCCCAAAACCATAAGATGTTTCGAGAGGGCTGCGATACTCTTTTTTGGTGGTTGTATTTTGAGCATCTAGACGTTCATTAGCTAGGATAAAGGCAATAGTATGGGTGAACTTGTTTTTGGATGCCACGACAATTGACATAAAATGTAGACTTATTCTTTCCTGGGAGCAGTCATTTATCAATTTCCTAACACTCTTGTTAGTTTACTTTGAGGAAGCCAAATCGCAATTTTGACGTATGGTTCTTATCTAATGCATTGTTCAGTGTGCTTTATAGCTAATACGTGCTCACACATTACACCAAGGATAGTCTGATTATAGTGCATGACGGAGTTATGTGTGTATGTTAATGGCAATAATACTTTCAGAAGCCTAAGATACTACTGTATTTTCAGCTACAAGAAACTGAGCGAGAGTGTTTGTCCATTATAAACAGGTTCAACAATGTTAACCTTCTTGCAAACCCATTAGGAAACCCTTGTCAAGCAGCCCTATGAACGCTTTGCAAAACAAAGTTATGAAGTCAACGTTCGTCATGAGATTTTTGGTGTGTTGTAAATTCCAGCATTCCTGTCGTTATTTTGCACACTTGTGGTCTTGGCTGGTAGTGGCCAATGGACTGAAGGCCTGTGCTGCCAACAATGCGTACCAAGGCCTTCGATGATCAGTTATTTCCCACTCAGCCTCATCTAGATCCAGTTCTTTTAAATCTGTTCTCACTAGCTTCGTACTGTCTCTGACCATTTCGCTTCCATCCTGCGTCAGAGGAGCATTACTACTAGTATTCATGCGCTCCACTCTCATGTCGAGGAAGGAGACGCAAATGGGTAATTTATTTATAGATATATCAGGCAGTAAACTGTGCGCACTTTATGCACAATCTCTTTGAGTCCACACCAGAAGTTCACTAATGCTAATAATAGTCTCAAGCCTAGAACAGCAGAGGTAAAGTTTTTGAGCCTTATAAAGGCGACTGGAATGGGGCTCGATTGCACAAATAAACCCATAATAGATCCGTTACTGAATTGACTTTCCAAGCATGTCCAACTGCCTCCATATTTTCTGTTCGCTTAACCTCAGATGAAGAGTTCTACTAAAGTTTCTCCTCTCATGCCAACCAACCTTGAAGGTGTCGAAGGCAGTATTTTGGACGTGGGCGATCATAACAAAGAGAGCAGCAACGGCAAGGAGAGCAAAGAGAAGAGTGAGGAGGACAGCCCACCAAGCGCAAGCAAGGAGGTATTCTGAACCTCCCAGTGCCACCGCTGCCACACCAAGTGCACACAGAACGTAGCCAACCAGTGCAACGGTAGGCATGCGCCCTGGTGGCAGCGAAGGAGGTAGAAGAGTGAGAAGGCGTCGAAACTCCGGCTTTATCGAGCCAACCAACCGCTGTGTCAGCAACTCTGCTCCGTTCATCTCGTACATACCCTCTTCTGGCTTCACCTTTGTCAATGCAAAAGTTTATGCTGAAAGAAGTGTGGCGACACCCGCACGTAGCCTTCGAGCCATTTATTTGAACTTACATCATCCACCAGCTTCGGTTGAATCGTAGACGCGCTGGCAGTGCCCATCTCGAAGTTGCAGTAGCGAAGAATGCAAACATTCATACAGACTATGGTGAAGGCAATTAATGTTCCGATGCTGAGGAACTCAGCCAGAGTGTGAATGTCACAGAGGAATGTCAGAATGGCTGCAAGACCTCCGAAAATGGCCATCGCAACAATGGGCACCTGAATGTAGAAACACAGAAATGACTGCTTATCTAACTTGTGGGTTGTATTACCTTGCTGCGTTGACGTATAATTAGGACCGATACATCAATACAATTTTCCTTCCTAGGAACAGTCCTGAATTTGACAAATGCATGTGTAAGATCCCATAAAATACCGCCCTGAATGCGATTAGCATAGAGTGTACGGACGTGAGTTCGCGATTTTGGAGACCAATCGGTTCTGGAAGCATTTTAACATTTGTAGTTTATCATTTGTCCAATAGATGGAGTAGGTATCAAAGAAGAATATCAAGGAACATTTTCAAATCCTCCACTGTGTCACTAACAGGATGCATAATAACCTAAGACTATGCATGTATTTCCTGCCATGGAAAGCTAAACAATTTCACTAGTAGTGGAACAACACCTCATGCATTATGCATCGTGTGGTGAAGTGTACCTAATAACTTGTATATTCTGAGACCTTGACATTTTAATCGTTTGTCAATTATGGCCTTGGGATGAAAACATGAGCAGGAGCAGCTCACGAGGTTTAGTATCGATGCAGCTCGGGTTCAGACCAATCAGAATGGCAGCTTTGAGAAGACAAGCTTTTGCAGCTGTCGATAGCCCTGTCCTTAGGCTAACCAATCGACGGCAGACTGTTGGATGTTTCATGTTCGCTTATGCAGGTAGTATTTAACCAGAAGGAAAACTTTGTGAAATTCTACATGCGGTTGTACACTCACCTTGGTGGAAGGTAAGACATAACCTATCCACTCAGGTAGTAGTCGATCAGCAGCCATAGCATAGACAATGCGGGGCATTGCATAGAGGCTAGTAAAGAGACTGGCCCCGATACCTAAGAGCGAGCCGATTCCGGCCACGTAAGTGGCCCAAGTGATCTGCCGCGTTCTCATGGCTGCAGTGAAGGCTGCTTGCCTGTCCACCGTCCACCAAGGTACGAAGAGAAGGAGGCTAGAGGAGGCTAGGACGAAGATAGTGGTGACGAGACTCACGGAGACCCCGGTAGCCACAGGCACAGATCGCTTAGGATCCACGGCCTCCTCACCGCTTACAGTAATTGCGTCGAAGCCGATGAAGGCGTAGAAACACGTCCCGGCTCCTGCGATCATCCCGCCCACACCGAAGGGGAAGAAGCCGCCATGGGAGGCAGGTGCAATACCGTGGAATATGGGATTTGGCAGTGCGAACATGAGAATAGTGACCAAGACAAGAACACCAACATTCAGGAGTGTCATAACTGAGTTGACATGGGCAGAAAGCTTTGCACCAAAGCTGAGAATCAGACCAAAAGCAATCACTGTTCCTGCTCCGAGAAAGTCTGGATATTGCCCCAGAAATTCGGCGTTGCCGGGAAACCTAGTTAAAGTGACGATCTTATATATGTATGTGTGTATGTACAGAAGAAAATATTCCTGCATTATTTTGTAATAATGGAGTTATTGTGCTGGTGCATTAATGGGTGATGTTGAATAAATCAAAATGTTCCCTGGGTTTTGACCAAATCAAGTTAACAAAATGGAGTACGTACAACTATGTTTGAGCAGAGTGAGGAAAATTCGAAGGAATGTGGGAGTAAGTGTAATGGACAAGAGGAAATAAACGGTGGTAATACTAACTTTCCGAATACAGCCATGGTACCATTGCTGATTTTGGACTGGAACATGGCGTCGATGGTGGCACTCCAGCCTCTGGCCACACTCGCCACCGACAGGACGTATTCCAATATCACGGACCACCCAATTAGGAACGCCAAAAATTCCCCGCCAGCAATGTACGTGTACGAGTAAGCCGAGCCAGCCTGTAGAAAGCGAGCAAAAGCAAAAATGAAATGAACTCCAAATGAAGAATTTCAGATTTCATGCTTTCTGTTATATTTTACTCATAAATGGTTTGAAACAAAGAGGGAAAGGTTAGTTAACATGATAATTTGATTGAATATGGCCTAGATAAGGGGGTTCAGCATAGGATAGGATGAACACTTACCTTGGGAATGCGGGAGCCCAGTTCGGCGTAGCAGAGCGCATTCAGAAAAGCCGTAAAACCGGCAATGAGATAGGAGAGGAAAACAGATGGACCAGACCGATCTCGAATGACAGTCCCAGTTAGTACGTAAATACCTGAACCAGTCATGTTGCCTAAAATTTAATGCCACAGACAGGGAGATTGAGCCCTAAACCCTACATGCAAAATAATGACTAACTTGGTTCTTGCAGTGGTTAAATGTAAAAAAAAATTGTGACCCTCCGATGTGCTGGCAAATAGAAGGAGATTGGCCACTATGATGCATAATATTCTGTTTAAAGGAATGGCATCCGTAGAAAAATGGCACAGTCCTATGGCCGTACAGTGGTACACCCAAAGAAAAACCGCGTCGTAGACACAGAGCCCACCAATTAACGCTAATGACTTCCATAATGTATCGTTGCATTCCAAATACAAGAAGTGTCACAAACTAGGTACAAGTACAGAGAAGTTTTACTATAGTCACTGCCTCTTGTATGTTTTCTTGTGACAGTTGTCTTCAGCCATACTGAAATAGGAACTAGACTTTCCTAATTCAGTCTAGGAAAGAGAGAACCACTTTGCTGTGGGAAAAGTTGCCTGACTCTCGGAAAGATGTGATAAAATAGATATCTGTTTACCTCCATCAAGGTATAGATTCTGTTGTTAAGTGCGACTGTCTAATGCAGCACAAGGCCAATAATGACCACGCAAACTTGTTTTCGGCAAAAATTAAATGGAGCGCAAACTATGCAAGTAGAGGTTGCTGCTGAAAGGAATGAAGATTTGAATTTTTTAATTAAAAAAACAAATTTTATGCAAAAGCGTAAAGGGGAAACAGGTTATGGTCTGACCCAATCCCAAGAGCGTCAGATCGAACACATTGAGGCACCGATGAAGTGGAGTCTCGAGGCTCGATGACTCGAGCGTTTTCCTCCTTTTCATAGCCTTCCATATTTCACGGAGGCGAGTCCTCGCCCTGGTTGAAACACCCTCACCCATGAAGCCTAACGCCACCTGCTGGTTTAAAAGGAGGGTGAAGAAGAAATGTGCAAGAGTGAGGACCGCGCGTCACTGCCCCTGTCGTCGTCCTAGCCTCAACCAATGAGCAGGCCCCAGAGTGGTCAGGACACGACTTGCCATCGCCAATGGGGACAAAAGTAGTGGGCGTTGCCAATTCGGTCCTGCTGCGTTCAATCGCTATCGTGCCCTTAAAACTGCCAGCGTAGTTAAGTGAATGGACCATATCAATGTTGATTCTAGGTCAATGACTTGAAAGCTTTGTCCAGGTTTGGGGCGTAAAGGTAATGCCATAGGACGAAAAGAGATGCTTGTATTGGAGGGACAGCTAAAACATTTTGGAACTTTGATAGGATTTCTTATTTTGAAACCGTTAAGTCTAGGAAGGCGTTATTCTGTTTTTTAGACGCATTCCATTACCGTTGAAAACCTCTTTCAAAAATGAATGGGAATATCAAGTAATGATACATTACGCGTCTATAATGCCTTGGCTATTTTATGTCATTGCCTTTTGAGCTTCGTGCATGAAAGGTAAAGGGATGTGTAGCCATCAATGATAACCAGCTTACATGGAACTCCGAAATGCGTGGTTTGGAATTGTAATTAGTAAATTTGTTAACTTACATTATGTGACGAACCAGCTGTCCTGTGACAGTTCTGTAATGTATGGCGACGCCACATGTCACTATGCTTGAAGAGGAGATGACAAAACACGCATTATGGTTATTTATGTCGTTGAAACTTTGTAAACATTGATCAAGTAAACACTTCCATTTCTCGCATAAGCAACAACAGTTAATAAGTATAGCACAAAACGTACTGGAAATGCTAGAAGCTCTTTCCATAAAAGTGTGGTGCCCTCAGAAATTAAAAAAAATTTCCTTCACTAACACCAAGCCTATTCACTAGGCCTCACAGCGGGCACTTAGAGTCTAAATTCAATTACTTTCGAAGACAATGATACCACAATACAAGGAAAGGCAATCATGGTATAGACGGCTATGCCTGGCTGTAAGGACTGTGCGCAAGACCTCTTTCCAACACTAAGATTCGTTAACT